CTGCTTTCATTTGAACTGAGCCTCACACCCTTCCTTTCAGGCAGACTCTGGACCCACCCAACAGGTCAGGAGCCTATGGTCACACAAATGGCGAGGGTGCAGGGCCTGAAGAAGCTACCTCTGCCTCCATCGGTGCCAAGCTCAGCCTTGGCTCTGCCAGGCTGCCAGCCCCAAGCCAGAAGTGAATCCTGAAGCAGACATCTGATGGCTGGACTCCTTCCTAAGATTGGGCCCTCTCCCCAAAAGACCCTGAGTCATTAAGTTCTACATCTAGGTGTCTGGGAGCCTGTTCACGGCCAGCTCCTCTGGCCTCGCCTCCTGACCTCCCAGGAGTTTGTCCCTTGGGCCTCTACACAGTAACAGGAGTGCTCCTTGAAAGGGTGGGGGGACACCCAAACAGCTTCTAGAGCTGGAATAATGGCTTGGAACTGAGGTAAATGGCCAGGACTGGAGCCTAGCTCACTCATGTCCACAGCTCCTGAGAGTATACACAAAATTTTCCCATCCACAAGCCCACAGGACAATTGCTACTGCCAATAAACCTAACAGGAAACTGAGGCCCACAAGGGTAACCGATCTGTCTGGGAACACACATACCCAATGAGGACAGAAACTAGGGTTCCACCCCAGACAGGCCTAAGGACCACAAGTCCTCTACTGACCTCCTCAGCTCCCGGGCCATGGTGAAGCCCTTCTTCCCTTGAACCACATGGGACCATTAGCTTGGACCCTGAGATGACCCTCCAGTGCTACTAGTTTCTCTCTCCTTTACCCACTCCACCCCTTTATAAGCTGTCCTTTCCTGTCCATGCCTGAGACACTGGGGCATGCTTGGCTGGGCAGATTCTCAACCCTTCTAATCAGGAGGCCTTCCCTGAGCAGCTTCAGCTTTTGGCTAGAGGGGAAAAGGGAGGTCCCTCCAAGGCTTGCTCTCACCCAATCCAGGGCTCCCACTATCTGCAGATTGGCTCTAGCTAAAGGCCTTATCTCCCTGAGGAGAGTGCAATAGTGGCCACACTAGGGTGCCCTCATCAAGGCTGAGGCTAAGTGTCTATCCAAAGGGACTACAGACAGGGCAAAAGAATCTTAACCCAGTTACCCGTTCCTCACTGCCCATTCCCCACCCCAACTCTATGGGAATCCACTGCCCTCCACCTGCCACCCCCAGCTGTGTGACCATGGACATGAACATATCCTGTGACCCCAGTGAAATAGCTCAGGGGGTCGGAGTGGGACTGAGATAGATATTGGTCATCTGACTCCTTCAGAGGCCTCTATTTCCCCATCTCAGAAATGGCATTAACTCCACCAGGGATGAACGGGGGCATCCCAACAGCCACCGGCTTGGCTTGCCTTTTGTTTGAGGCTGGCAGTAGGCACTCAGCTGTTTCTCAACTAAGCAATCAGTGGTCCAGGTGGAAGGAATGCACCCCCCACACAACAGCCTCCACCCCTTTGCAGAATCCCCCTCCCCGCCCCCAGCCCGGGCAGACTAAAATAGTCATTAGGCAGATTTCAAAAGATGTCAGTAGCTTATAATTATAGTCGACATCCTTCTGAGATAAAAGTGATTACCTTGGATGCAAATCGCTTAGCAACCAATCACGGCGGCGGGCGGCGCCCGCGGAGGTGACCGGCCGGCAGCTCGGCCCTCCTCCCTCGGCCGCACCGCACAGGCGGCGAGAGAGCGCACAATAGCTCTTGACACGCAAATGGGTTAACACAATAAAGGCGGCTCCGGCCGGTGCTGGGGGAGAGCAGCAATTCCCGGCCCGCGGGAGGTAATAAAGCGGCCCTTTTGTGCGCGCCTCCCCGTTCTCACCCCCGCCCAGCCCCAAGGAATCGCTGCCTGATTGAATTACGGTTCATGAATACGAGCTGCTTGCCTGCTTCCTCTGACTGGGGAGGGTTGGCAAAGCGGAGTGGGCAGGAGGGAGGTTGGGGAGGACCGCCTGGCCAGGCCCCAGAGGCCCTGGCACTCAGAAGGAAGCCACGTGTGCTCACCCTGTGGGCTCACCACGTGGGGCCCCATTGCTGAGGCGCTGGAAGGGTAGGAGACCCCAGCCTAGGAACTGGGAGCGCCAGGGATTATGCTAATAGCAGGTATAAAGTACAGATATGGAACACTTACTGTACCCTGCGGCCTGCCCTAAGCCCTCACTGAATCCTCACCACGCCCCTGGGTAGGGGAGGTTGCTTGCAGCTCCCGACAGATGAGAAAACCAAGCCTCAGACTCAAAGCCACGCAGCAGGGTCACGCAGCCGGTCAGTCCCAGATCCAACCATCCCAGAGTCTGGTTCTCCGCCATAAGCTTCCCCGGGGAGCTTCAAGTTTCTCATCAAAGGCATCAAGCAACCGGGCAGGGCCTATACCTAGTCCAGAACTGCCAGGCTCCCCTGGTCAGGGCATCGGGTAAGTGAAATGACCGGGGTGCTGAGAGGAGAGGAGGGGCCGTTAAGAGGAGGCTGCTGCTGCTTCACACACCTGCCCCATCACCAGAGACTCCGGGGATCCAGGCCATCCTGCCCCACCTGACCCTCGGCTCTGAGCCACTCCTCCTCAGGTACTGCCCAAATTGCTCTTCTATTCACCCCTTTGGGGAACTGAGGTGCCACCTGCCACTGGGTCAGAAGCTCCACTCATCGAAGTGCTGTTGCCATCTATAAACCGGCCTTCCACCAGGAGAGCCTGCCAGGAGCTTCGGGTGGCTGAGGTCCCTGGGTGGCCCTCTAAGCGAGCCCAGAGGGCCAAGCAGAGGACACAAGGGCCAAGGCTGGATTCTTGACCGCCTCTGGCAGGTGGTTTCCCGCTGTGTACTCTTTTTCCCAGGGAAGCCAGCAGGCGAGGGGAACAGGCTGGGATCACAAGGCCGGGGAAACAGGCTGCTCTTGTCTCAACCCAGGAACCTGTCCAAGGGCAAGGGTGCCTCTCCTGTGTTCCGGGTCCTGGAGATTCTGAACCCAGGGCCACTGAGGCTAACCCACTGCAGCTGCCTGGCTGCGCACCTCAAAAAAAAAAAAAAAAAAAAAAAAAAAAGATGATCGCTTCCTTGGCTCGAGTCTCGGGTTTCTCATCCGCAAAATGGGTCACAGTCTGAGCCACTCCAAGAAGCAGCTGAGATGCTGCAAAATGCCTGGCGCTCCGGAAGACGCCGGGTAAACTGGCACTCCCCTGCCTGTCGTCTGGCGCTCGGTGCCAAGCCCAGAGAGCGGAGGGAAAGGAACAGAAGGAGTTGCCCAACTCTGACAGCCTTTCCCTCCGCCTTGGCTGAGGGAGTGTAAATACTCCACGGAGGGCCTCCAACCGCCTGCGTGTGTGTCTCTGGCGCACACCCCAAGTTTGTTTCTAAACTGGGAAGTGTCGAGAGGCCGTGCAAACAGCCTTGTGCCCACAGCGTCCCCTTCTCCCCCAACCTGCCGCTGCACTGCTGTCCTGGCAAGCCTGTGTTTAAGGAAACTGCTTCAGCTGCAAACACCATCACCCCATCAAGCCCCTGAAGCAGCCTCCCAGTGCTTACTGACCCATTTATATATGAGAGCTTGGGCAGAGGATGTCTGCACAGAGACCAGACCTGGCTTCTCAGAATGCCCCTCACTCTTTGCTCACCTGCGTGAGCAATGACAGTAGGTCCTTTCTCCGACCTTTTTCCTAGAAATGTGACGGTAGCTGAGTCAGCTGCTATCTGATTCGGGCAGTCGTTGCTGGGATGGGCGTAAGCTGGCTGTGTCACAGAAGTGCCCTGGGCTCCACACCGTACAGGGCTGTTGCTAGAGTGTGGTGGGGCGCGGGGCTCTCGCCATCACCACCCATCCCCCTCTGGCCCTGGCAGAGACGGACATATTCAGACTTTAGCTCTGACTTGCCCTGCATTTGCTTAATAGGCATCCATCACACTGATTGTCAAAATCATCTTAAACACCGGAAGGAGAATGGCTTAGGCAGGAGTTCCAGCTGGGCCAAGGCCCCTCACCGTGGGGATGAACAGCAGGGGGGTTCCCTGGACTTAGACACACACCAGGAAGGTGCCACAGCTCCTCTCTCTCCCTCAGGCAGAACATTCCCATTTTCAAGAGAACAGCCTGTTTGAAGGCTGAAGCCCGTATTTCTCTGGGGACACCCCCTCCCCTCGGGAACTTCAGCTGTTGGCTGGGTATGTGGTGTGGTTCCCAAGGACTGGCTTTTGAACGCCCTACTTAGAAGTGGGAGGTTGCTCTGCCTGGGAGTTATGGGCGCCCAGACACTGCCAGGAGCCATGGGCAGAGTTCTGAACACCTGTCCTTAGGGGCAGGATGCACTGGCAGGGACAGCTGGCATCTGCCTCCCTCCCCCACTGCCAGTGGTGACTGGGGATTTAGGTCATAAGATTGCATCGGGGAGGACTGGGGAGTCGGCCTTCACCTTCTATTACCCGAAGGCATCCAGCCCTGGCCATTCCGGCTCTGGGTCAAGGCCAGCCGCACTGTCGTCACCACAATCCCGGTGACATCAGAGGTCAGGCAGTGATGTCACATGCAGCCCACTGGGAACACGAAGTCTTTGTGAGTTATTTGTAACAATAGACACAAATGTCTTGCCTCAGAGGACACAACCCTCTGACAGAAGTTTTGGGGACTCCACACCTTTGAAGCCTGGCTCTTCAAGGACCTCAAAGGTTGTTTTGTAGACCCCTCCATGCTGGCCCACCCTGGGTGCCCCCCAATCAACCTCTACAAAACTACAAGAGCTCCCCGGGAATTTCCAGAGGGCAGATGCACTACCTTTGTTAGCTTCATGGGTGGGGTGACCTTTCCTCCCTGGCATCTGCCGAAAGCTCCGCAGAATTACCCACCAGGGTTCCACACCCTTCACTCCAGCCAGTCCAAATAAGTTATGTGGGCAGGACAGGGGCGGACTGTAAGCATTGCTGCCTCTGGGCGCCCAACAAGCTAGGGCCCCTTTAGGCCAGTCCAGGTTGCCCGGCTGCCGGAAACTGCCCCCAGCCCAAACCCCCGCGACTCACCGTGTCAGCCACGTAGGCGAAGGGCACCAAGTCTCAGAGGCCAGGACGCTCCAATCTGCGGGTCGCGGCCATACAGTGGGTGATAACGATTGCCCGAGGAAGGACCCCCTCGGGGGCCGATGTCTTTCTTCGGGGAGCTGTCGATGAGGGCGACCCCTGAGCCCGAAAGCGCCGTCCGAAGTCGGGAAAAAGATTTTTTTTTTTTTTCCTCTCAGCACCGGTGGCGGCCGCCCGGGACCCCTGCCGCTCGCGCGCTCAGGCGGCGCATCCTGGCAGGAGACTGTGCTCCCTGCGTCCGGCGGGAGGCGCTGCGCCTCCCTTCGGGTCCCGGCTCACCGCCGCAGCTCGGCCCGCGCCTCTCCCAGGGCGCCCTCTCCGTCCGCGCTGGGAGGCCAGCGGCCGCGGCCCCTCTCGCCAGCCCCAGCTGCAGCTTGTCTTTGTTGCTTCCTCTCGCTGGCCCGCCCGCCCTCGGCTTGCCGCTCCCGGGATCGCCCGGAGGTGAAGAGTCCGTCTCGTCGGAGGATTGCACGCACCTGCAGCGGCCCCGGCTCCTCGCCCGGCATACACCGGCCCCCGCAGGTTGCAGAGAGCAGCGCCGAGAACGCACCGGCCCCTCCTCCTTCTGCTCCGAGCCCCGGGTGTGGGGGGAGGGGAAGCCGGCGAGCAGCGGCAGCGGCAGCGGCAGCCGCAGCGAGCGGCAGAGCCTGGGATGCAGCCTCGCGGGCCTTGGCCCTGAGGACCAGCAGATCCAGCTGGCGCAGGGCAGACTCGGGGATGGAGAACCGTGCAGCCTGCGTGGGGCTCGAGGGCTGCAGAGGCGGCGCGCCGGTGTCTCCCGCGCCCGTGGCCCCGGACGGTTCGCGGGGCTCCCGGGACCGCAGCTTCGCGCTGCCCAACACCCTCGCCTCGCCTCGGGCCCGGCTCTCCGCCCGGCCTGGCCGGCGCGCGCAGCCTCTTCGCGGAGCTGCCGGCCCGGCAGGGTTGCCCGCTGCTCCGCTCCGGCACGACTGACAGGCGCGGGCGCCCGCTGCCGCCGCTGCGTCTCGCCCCCGGCCCGCCCCCCGCGTCACAGCCCAATCAGCTGCAGCCGAGAGGCGGTTACCACGGTGACGCGGCGCCGCGTCCTCCGCCAGGCGGGGCCGGGGGCCGCCACGCGCGCTTTTCGCGGCAAAATTCAAAGGCCGGCAGGGCGGCTCTCCAACCTCTTTACCCAAGCTGGGACGAGGCGGGGCCCGCTCCTGGAGAACTGCAACTCCCGGCATGCTGCGCGGCTAAGACGGGCGAAGGTGTCCCGACTGGGAGCGCAAGGCATGCTGGTAGTTGTAGTCCCTTTGTCGAGGACCTAGAGTTGAACAGCAGTGTTATTTATTGAAGTGCCTGTTTGAGGGTAGGCACTGTGCTAAGTGTACCATCTACATTATTTCGTTTACTCTTTTAACTGGCCCTACGAGGAGTGTGTTAAGGATAATAAGAATAGGTTCGAGTGAAGCAAAATAGTAGACTGTGCACATGTCTGCAATACCCAGTGTCAACCTTAGGACAACACACACACAGTGCAAAGTGCATACTATCCATAATTTACTGACGAAGCAAAAATGAAAAGATGTCAAGTGTCCTGAATGCCTTGGGGCGTTTAGGGATGCTAGTGGAGTTCTGGCACCAAGGCTGCAGTCTGCTGAGCGCAAACTACCTGCCAAGTCTTTAGTAAGCTACATCCCACAGATGTATACACTGACCGAGGAAGGCAGGCACCAATATTCTCTCAGTATGTTGCTCAGTTGGGCTCAAATTCCTAGCTTCAAGCAATCCTCCTGCCTCAGCCTGCAGAGTGCAGGAACTGTTGGCACAAGCCACCATAACTGGTGAGGCTCTAACTTTTCTTCCCCTTAACAGATAGGGAAACTGAGGCATAGTATCACCTAAGCCCAAGTAGCTGTTTCCATTCTTACCTGCCTGACAGCCCACAGGTAGCATTCTCTTTTACAGGCAGGGAAAGTGAATCCTGGGAGAGACGGTTCCTCCGTTGTTAAGTGTCTGTCACAAAACAAGCTGGACACGCAGCTTTGCAGGCCGAACCTGCAGAAATGTAAAGCACCAACCAGACAGACACCCCCATGCAACCCTGAGACACCCCCGTGCAGCCCTACCTTAGGCTTTATATTAGTGATAAAGAACCAGGTTCCCCAAAAACTTGCTTCCTATTGACCTTGGCCATTTATCTTCAGGACTTGGTGCCTGTTTTGTGTCTGTAAAACGAGAAGACAGGAAGTCTAAATCCCCTCTGTATCTGGCTATTATGAGGGCCCTGAAAGAGCACCACAGGCGCTCAGTAAGTGTTAGCCGTGGCCCTCTGTCCTGGAGTGTATGCAGGGTTTTGTGTGGATTATAGTCAGGCCTTACCCTACTTTCAGGAGCCAACCAACCCCTGCCTAGAACCTGGGAGAGGCGCTGGCAAGGGACCTCCAGGGCAGGCCCAAGTAGGCCACCCACTCCTTATCTGGGGCAGAGGCGGCAGAGTGAATGAGGTTCCCAGCAGCTCCAGGCCTCCATATTTGCTCTATTTCTCATCGGCTGCCTGTCCTTGTTCCCCTCCCTCCCTGCTCCCTGAGTGCAGCTGGGGGTGGGGATTTACCTGGAAACACGATCAGCTGCCAGCTGCTTCCCCTCTGGGCCAGCTGCCAGAGCAGCCCTGACGTCAGGGCCCAGAGTTGCCCAGGCGACTGGCTGGCTGGACCCAGGGCAAGTACAGGTGGGGGGAGAGCAAATTCAAGGCTGGGACAGGGTAGGAGACAATGACCAGCAAAGCCTAGGAGAAAAGAGGACTGGGCCAGGCAGGAGGTGGTCAAGGAGGACAGTGGGCCAAGCTCCTTACAGCCTTCAAGCCTGAGATTCTCTGTGTTGTAGGGCACACTGAAGAACCCTTATGATCTAGCTTATGCTGTTCACGTTACAGAGTCCTTTTACCTTCACAGCAAACCTGCACCGTATAGGATTACTGCCCACATTTGTATGGGAGGAGGGCTGGAGGATTTGCCCAAGGTCATCCAGTGACAGAACTGGAACCCTACCAGAGCCCTCCACCTTGGTTTATCGAAACCCTCGCCAGCTGCTGATTGACAGTGTGTGACCTTGACAGCACTTTTCTTCTCTTTTCTGGGCCCATTTCCTGCCAGCTTTTCCAGATGTGGGTCAGTAGTTTCCAAAGGACTTGGTGTGATTCCAAAACAGTGCGGGGCGGGGGGTGGGGAAGAGAAGAGGTGCAGCTAGGGGTGAGCTCTCAAGGAGCCAACTGTCTCTAAAGGTCAGGAAGTTTGTGAGGCACTAATGGTGGGCTTTCCGGGGAGCTGTGGGCTCAGAGGGAGCTGTGTCAGCAAAGACCTGTCTTCCGAGCCCTTGAGGACCCTGTAAGAGGCTCAGCCTGGGCCTCTGTTGTATGACTGTATGTCTTCAAACACACATTCACAGCCTCCCTCCCTCCCTATCAGACCCACCCTGGGGAGGTCGTAATCCCGGCTTTCACTCTCAGTGGTGTCTAGTACTGACATGATGTGATTGGAGACTGTGCTAAAATTGCTTTGATACAGTCCTCAGAACCCCCAGGCAGTCCAGCCTCTAAACACTGGTGCCCATGGGCTAGCTCACTCCCTCCCCATTCCTGTAAGACCCTACACACCAATCTTGCCAGAATACACACACATTGTACCTCATGCATGCCTCCTTCACCCCAGGGCCTTTGCATATGCTGTCCCTCTACCTAAAGGGCCCTCCCTCCAGAGCCAGCTCTTACTCCTTCAGATTGCAGGTAGTGAGCCTCCTCCTCCTGGAAGCCCTCCACGGAGCAAGGTCTGCCACCTTTGTGCCACGTCTAGTCAGGTATTTGTCTGTTTCTCTAAGCTTGAGGCTCCCCAGGGCTCCCTAGCACAGGGCCACAAACAGTTGGCGCTCAAGAAAGGTTTGTTGAATTTATCTTCAAGTTAATGAATGAGGTGGCCCAGATTTTTTTTTCTCTCAAATAGCTTTGCTATGTAGCCCAGGCTAGCCTTATGGCAAACCTTCTGCCTCAGGCCTTCTGAGTGCTGGGATTCTAAGTGTGAGCCACCACACCAAAATATTCTGTTCTTTTTTTCTCCTTTTCTTCCAGAAGGAGGAGGCTCGCTACCTGCAATCAGAAGGAGGAGCAAGAGCATTGGCTCTGGACAGAGGGCCCTTTAGGTAGAGGGACAGAGGTTTCCTGAGAAGGCAGCTCACAAGGTTGCTGCAGGGTGCCACAGAAGGAGCACCTGGAGCAGGTGCTGCCCCACGGCGGGGCACGTGGTGCTGGAAACATGCTGATGGCCCTTGATGGACATCTGTGAGCAGTGGGCAGGAGCAATAAATAGCCAAGGGGAAAAGTGAGGGGCCCCTGGTAGGGGACAAGGCCAGCAAAAAGACCTCGCCCCTCTGCCCTGCTTGCAGAGCCGAGTGAGTCCCTCAGAGGCTAGCCAGGGGCTGAGCAGGCAGAGCTGGGCCTGGATTCTGGGAGCAGAGCCTCGGCTTCAGCCTCCCACCCCGCCCCCCAGTCTCCTCACCTGCCCTGGTTGCTCTAATCTAGGCCAGAGCTGGGAGGGAGCAGAGCCCCCATTGGTGCACACCATGTCGGTTTTTCAGAGATAATTTAATCAGAGCTATTAATAAGCAGAAAAGAAAGAGCTCTTTATGCTTCTCGGGGAGAAAAGCGGGAGGGAGGGAACCCTGGTAACCTTGTCACTCACCTGCCCCGCCCCCCAAGACTCAGAGTCCCCCAAGGGGGAGGGGCAGTGATCAGGGACACCACAAGCTACAGGGTGTAATAAAGAGGCCCAGGCCAGCCTCAGGGATGGACTTCTGTGAAGCTCCCCACCCACATCCCACCCTTGCCCTTGCCGGCCCCTTCCAGACTGCCACACCCTTGCCCACCCAGCCTGGCAGAGGCTGCACCCTCCTCTTTTGCCCTTTGTGGCTCTGGCTTAATGTAGTTCAGGTCCCAACTCAAATATCTGCTACTCTGAGACACCATCCCCTCCCCACTGTGGCTA